ACCAGCCGTGATCTGCCTGCCTTGCGTAGAGAAGCGCAGAGACCCGTTGATGACATCACTGGTATTATAATAAGATATGTCATGAAATGAAGTGTTTTTTTTGAATGATGTCATGGCCCTGATGATGGGGGATGGGGGGGGGGGGGGGGGGGGGGGGTGAACTCTTGCTGCACACAGTATATAGTGAGGTGGCCTCTCTCTGATTGCAGAGCTGATTTCCTGCCTCCGGGACACAGACTGCCCCCTACTGAGCGACTGCACCCAAGGACTCCGCCGGTGTCACTGTCACCTCGGGCTGTACTTCCACCCGCACCTCGGCTGTGTCACAGGTAACCCCATGAGATTATATGTCTTCATTCAGTGTCTCTCAGCCATGTCCGTCTATCATCAGGCTGAGCTGTGTGTCCCTGTTCCTGTATGAAGAACTCTGCAGAGCTTTCATCCTGAACGCACAATAGACTGTGGGGCCCAATGATATAAACACGAGACTGAGGAGCACAGACTGGGCCCTGTACACATAGTGAACCATGGGGCCCGATGATGTAAACATGAGAGACTGAAGAGCACAGACTGGGCCCTGTACACATAATGAACCATGGGGCCCGATGATGTAAATACGAGACTGAGGAGCACAGACTGAGCCCTGTACACATAATGAACCATGGGGCCCGATGATGTAAATACAACACTGAGGAGCACAGACTGGGCCCTGTACACATAATGAACCATGGGGCCCGATGATGTAAATACAACACTGAGGAGCACAGACTGAGCCCTGTACACATAGTGAACCATGGGGCCCGATGATGTAAACATGAGACTGAAGAGCACAGACTGAGCCCTGTACACATAGTGAACCATGGGGCCCGATGATGTAAACATGAGACTGAAGAGCACAGACTGAGCCCTGTACACATAGTGAACCATGGGGCCGATGATGTAAATACAAGACTGAGGAGCACACACTGGGCCCTGTACACATAATGAACCATGGGACCCGATGATATAAACACGAGACTCAGGAGCACAGACTGAGCCCTGTACACATAGTGAACCATGGGGTTGATGATGTAAATACAAGACTGAGGAGCACACACTGGGCCCTGTACACATAGTGAACCATGGGGCCCGATGATGTAAACATGAGACTGAAGAGCACAGACTGAGCCCTGTACACATAGTGAACCATGGGGCCCGATGATGTAAACATGAGACTGAAGAGCACAGACTGGGCCCTGTACACATAGTGAACCATGGGGCCCGATGATGTAAACATGAGACTGAAGAGCACAGACTGAGCCCTGTACACATAGTGAACCATGGGGCCCGATGATGTAAACATGAGACTGAAGAGCACAGACTGAGCCCTGTACACATAGTGAACCATGGGGCCCGATGATATAAACACGAGACTCAGGAGCACAGACTGAGCCCTGTACACATAATGAACCATGGGGCCCGATGATGATGTAAATACAACACTGAGGAGCACAGACTGAGCCCTGTACACATAATGAACCATGGAGCCCGATGATGTAAACACAAGACTGAGGAGCACAGACTGGGCCCTGTACACATAGTGAACCATGGGGCCCGATGATGTAAACATGAGACTGAAGAGCACAGACTGAGCCCTGTACACATAGTGAACCATGGGGCCGATGATGTAAATACAAGACTGAGGAGCACACACTGGGCCCTGTACACATAATGAACCATGGGGCCCGATGATGTAAACACGAGACTGAAGAGCACAGACTGTAAAATCCTCTGGAGGGGGAGGAAGGGGGGGGAGTAAAATAATTTTTTTTTTTAACGGATGTAAACGCACGTGCGGTCCATTCCTCCATTGGTAAAGGATGGAAAAAACAGAACTCCGCGTGACAGGACGAGTCTGGGGCCACCGCAGAGATCTCCGCAGCATTAATGCACCGCAGTCCATCCCACACCATCCCTCCGGGGGGGGGGGATTCACATCTCCGCGCTCTCATGCGTGCTGTGGGAGGAGTCAGGGAGTTTTTGGTTCCATAGACTTCAATGGAGACGCAGCAGAGGCGTGGAGCAGTTTGTGCTTTAGTCTGCCTAGCAACAAACAGAAAACCTCAATATGAGCCAAAACCAACCTGAGGTGAGACCCCAGGAGGTCCTCCTGACCACAACCTGGGTATAGGAGACACCGTCCACACCATGGCCTTCTTCCATCCAAACCACCATCATCACCACCAACTACTACCACCATCACCACCATCATCACCACCACCACCACCATCACCATCATCATCATCATCACCACCACCATCATCATGACCACTACTACTACTATCACCACCATCATCACCACATCACCCACCACCACCACATCATCACCACCACCACCATCACCACCACCATCATCATGACCACTACTAAATACTACCCACCATCACCACTACTACTACCACCATCACCATCATCATCACCACTACTACTACTACTACCACCACACCATCATCATGACCACTACTAATACTACCACCATCACCACTACTACTACCACCATCACCATCATCATCACCACACTACTACTACCACCACCATCATCATGACCACTACTACTACTACCACCACCATCATCATGACCATCACCATCACCATCATCACCACCCTCAACATCATCACCACCACCACCATCAGCATCATCATCACCACCCCCCATCATCATCACCACCACCATCATCACACACCACCACCATCATCACCACCATCATCATCATCACTATCAGTGCCGTCTATCAGTGCCGCCTATCAATGCCACCTATCAGTGTCACCTATCAGTGCCGCCTATCAATGCCACCTATATCAGTGCCGCCTATCAATGCCGAATATCAATGCCACCTATCAGTGCCGCCTATCAATGCCACCTATCAGTGTCACCTATCAGTGCCGCCTATCAATGCCGCCTATCAATGCCACCTATCAATGCCACCTATCAGTGCCACCTATCAGTGCCACCTATCAATGCCACCTATCAGTGCAGCCTCATCAGTGCCACCTATCAGTGCCGCCTATCAGTGCAGCCTCATCAGTGCCACCTATCAGTGCCACCTATCAGTGCCGCCTATCAATGCCACCTATCAGTGCCGCCTATCAGTGCCACCTATCAGTGCCACCTATCAGTGCCGCCTATCAATGCCACCTATCAGTGCCGCCTATCAGTGCCGCCTATCAATGCCACCTATCAGTGCCACCTATCAGTGCCGCCTATCAATGCCACCTATCAGTGCCACCTATCAGTGCCGCCTATCAATGCCGAATATCAATGCCACCTATCAGTGCCGCCTATCAATGCCGCCTATCAGTGTCACCTATCAGTGCCGCCTATCAATGCCGCCTATCAATGCCACCTATCAATGCCACCTATCAGTGCCACCTATCAGTGCCACCACCTATCAATGCCACCAATATCAGTGCAGCCTCATCAGTGCCACCTATCAGTGCCGCCTATCAGTGCAGCCTCATCAGTGCCACCTATCACTATCAGTGCCACCTATCAGTGCCGCCTATCAATGCCACCTATCAGTGCCACCTATCAGTGCCACCTATCAGTGCCACCTATCAGTGCCGCCTATCTATCAGTGCCACCTATCAGTGCCGCCTATCAGTGCCACCTATCAATGCCACCTATCAGTGCCACCTATCAGTGCCGCCTATCAATGCCACCTATCAGTCAGTGCCACCTATCAGTGCCGCCTATCAATGCCACCTATCAGTGCCGCCTATCAGTGCCACCTATCAGTGCCGCCTATCAATGCCACCTATCAGTGCCACCTATCAATGCCGAATATCAATGCCGAATATCAATGCCGCCTATCAGTGCCACCTATCAGTGCCGCCTATCAATGCCACCTATCAGTGCCGCCTATCAGTGCCGTGCCTATCAATGCCACCTATCAGTGCCGCCTATCATCAATGCCACCTATCAGTGCCGCCTATCCGCCTATCAGTGCCGCCTATCAATGCCACCTATCAGTGCCGCCTATCAATGCCGCCTATCAGTGCCGCCTATCAATGCCACCTATCAATGCCACCTATCAGTGCCGCCTATCAGTGCCGCCTCATCAACGCATATCAGTGAAAGAGGAATATTGGCAGTTTGCAAAATTTTATAATTGACACAAAGGAAAACTTTTTTTCCCACATTTTTTGCTATAGCGGGACTGCGGCGGGCATTCTGATACTGGGGGGGGGGGGGGGGGACTGCCACTGACACCTCCAGTGACACCAATACAGTGATCAGTGCTAATATAAAGCCCCAACACTGTACTAATGGCACTGGGCAGGAAGGGGTTAACACCTGGGGGGGATCAAAGGGTTACCTATGTGCTGGGAGTGTTTTACTACTGTGCTGTGCAGAGCCATACAAAGCAGTGTGCCGGAGCTGACAGGTGAGAGATCCGCGTTGTCTATACACAGGTCTCTCCCCCGTCGGAGATGCTCAGTGATCAGCGGTGCCGTCGGGGAATCACCAGCCGGGGCCCAGTGATTGGCAGTTGAGGCTGTGAATGGCGGTGCGGGCAGGGTGGCGCCCCCTACCTGGAACTGCACAATTTTTTCTCCCCACTGTATACAGAGAGGCACAATGACAGGCCTGCTGAAAAATTGACTTTGGGGTCACAGACATGTCAATGAAGAGGAATTCTCACAGAATGTTTTCTCTCCGGTGTTTGTCAGGAATTCCACTGGAAGGCGGAGCCATTAACCCCCCCCCCCCCCCCATGACAGGACAAAATCCACTCCAGTAAAGTCATACGAGAACATTCCTGGCAAGGCTCCCCCCGATGGCTGATCTCCTCATTACATCCTGTAAGAAGACCTGTCTAGGGTGGAGGGGCCCCCAGAGGGACAATGGTGTAGGAATCCCCAACAGAAGGAGACTCAGCAGGCTTCCCCTAGAATTCAATTACCAGTTTTGGGTGGAGTGGTCCTTTAAATCTGACCTCCATTGTACAGGTGTAGCGGCTCCTCCCCTTCAGTCTTGCACAGGTGTACCGGCTCCTCCCCTTCAGTCTTGCACCGGTGTACCGGCTCCTCCCCTTCAGTCTTGCACAGGTGTACCAGCTCCTCCCCTTCAGTCTTGCACAGGTGTACCGGCTCCTCCCCTTCAGTCTTGCACAGGTGTACGGCTCCTCCCCTTCAGTCTTGCACAGGGGTTGTACCGGCTCCTCCCCTTCAGTCTTGCACACGGTGTACCGGCTCCTCCCCTTCAGTCTTGCACAGGTGTACCAGCTCCTCCCCTTCAGTCTTGCACAGGTGTACCGTCTCCTCCCCTTCAGTCTTGCACAGGTGTACCGGCTCCTCCCCTTCAGTCTTGCACAAGTGTACCAGCTCCTCCCCTTCAGTCTTGCACAAGTGTACCGGCTCCTCCCCTTCAGTTTTTGCACAGGTGTACTGGCTCCTCCTCTTCAGTCTTGCACAGGTGTACTGGCTCCTCCCTTTCAGTCTTGCACAGGAGAATACCGACTCCTCCCCTTCAGTCTTGCACAGGTGTACCGGCTCCTCCCCTTCAGTCTTGCACAGGTATATTGGCTCCTCCCCTTCAGTCTTGCACAGGTGTACCGGCTCCTCCCCTTCAGTCTTGCACAGGTGTACCGGCTCCTCCCCTTCAGTCTTGCGCAGGTGTACAGGCTCCTCCCCTTCAGTCTTACACAGTAACTCAGTTCTGTCAATCATGGAGGCTTACATGGTCTAAATGTGATTTTTTTTGTGTTTCCTGAAAGCCAGAACATTCCCGGCCCGGATCGCCATCTCCGCCCTGCGCTCCACAGACGGGACAATCCGAGAAGACGGAGAATCGGAGACCCCCATGTCCCAGGAGGTGGCTGAGCTGGTGGGTGACGCAGCTTACACTCTAATGTCCCCTCCCCCACAGTCACATCAGTCTCTGTACCAGAGGAGCTTGCGCTCTAATGTCCCCTCCTCCACAGTCCCATCAGTCTCTGTACCAGAGGAGCTTACACTCTAATGTCCCCTCCCCCACAGTCACATCAGTCTCTGTACAGAGGAGCTTACACTCTAATGTCCCCTCCCCCACAGTCACATCAGTCTCTGTACAGAGGAGCTTACACTCTAATGTCCCCTCCCCCACAGTCACATCAGTCTCTGTACAGAGGAGCTTACACTCTAATGTCCCCTCCCCCACAGTCCCATCAGTCTCTGTACCAGAGGAGCTTACACTCTAATGTCCCCTCCCCCGCAGTCACATCAGTCTCTGTACAGAGGAGCTTACACTCTAATGTCCCCTCCCCCACACTCACACACTGTTATTATCATACATGTATATAGCTCTGACATATACCTCAGCGCAGTACAGGGATCACTAGCCATTGTTAGTTTTGGTTGCACTACCTTTCCCTCACCATTAGATGGCAGTGTTGGCCCAGTAATGAGAGATGATGTCAGTAGACTGGATGGAATGGTGACATGTGATTGGTTGATGCGGATCCTTACATTTAATGTTGCGGATCGTTATGTCAAATGTTGCGGATCGTTACGTCGAATGTTGCGGATCGTTACGTCGGATGTTTGCGGATCGATACGTCGGATGTTGCGGATTGTTACATTGGATGTTGTGGATCGTTACGTCGAATGTTGCGGATCGTTACGTCGGATGTTGCGGATCGTTACGTCGGATGTTGCGGATCGTTACGTCAAATGTTGCGGATCGTTACGTCAAATGTTGCGGATCGTTACGTCGAATGTTGCGGATCGATACGTGGGATGTTGCGGATCGTTACGTGGGATGTTGTTACGGATCGTTACGTGGGATGTTGCGGATCGTTACGTGGGATGTTGCGGATCGTTACTTTGGATGTTTCGGATCGTTACGTCAAATGTTGCGGATTGTTACGTCGAATGTTGCGGATCGATACGTCGGATGTTGCGGATCGTTACGTCGGATGTTGTGGATCGTTACATCGGATGTTGTGGATCATTACGTCAAATGTTGCGGATCGTTACGTCGGATGTTGCGGATCGTTGCGTCGGATGTTGCGGATCGTTACATCGGATGTTGTGGATCATTACGTCGAATGTTGCGGATCGTTACGTTGGATGTTGCGGATCATTACATCGGATGTTGCGGATCGTTACGTCGGATGTTGCGGATCGTTACGTTGGATGTTGCGGATCGATACGTCGGATGTTGCGGATCGTTACGTCAAATGTTGCGGATCATTACGTCGGATGTTGCGGATCGTTACGTCGGATGTTGCGGATCGTTACATCGGGATGTTGCGGATCATTACGTTGGATGTTGCGGATCGTTACGTCGGATGTTGCAGATCGTTACGTGGGATGTTGCGGATCGTTACGTGGGATGTTGCGGATCGTTACGTTGGATGTTGTGGATCGTTACGTCGGATGTTGTGGATCGTTACGTCGGATGTTGTGGATCGTTACGTCGAATGTTGCGGATCATTACGTTGGATGTTGCGGATCGATACGTTGGATGTTGCGGATCATTACGTTGGATGTTGCGGATCGTTACGTCGGATGTTGCGGATCGTTACATCGGATGTTGTGGATCATTACGTCGAATGTTGGGGATCGTTACGTTGGATGTTGCGGATCGATTACGTTGGATGTTGCGGATCGATACGTTGGATGTTGCGGATCGTTACATCGGATGTTGTGGATCATTACTAGAGATGAGCGAATCGAACTCGGCGAAGTGGAATTCGTTTCGAATATTGGGAAATATTCGATTCGCGCTGAATCCGAAAATTAGCCAAACTTCGGATGCACGAATCGAATTTTCCCAAAAATGGCGGCGACATGTGCGGCGACGGAGCGGGGATCTCTGGGAAGGCGCGCAGACAAGGCGCGCTGACCCATAATGCATTCATTCATGACATGTGATCGCATTAGCCAATCAGCAGCCAGCCAGCCAGCACTGTGTAATGGTGGAGCTATAAATTGCGACCATCTTAGAATTCTCCATTAGCCTCCAGTCATTCAAGAGAGACAGACCTGTCTGTATTAGGGACAGAGTTAGGGCCACAGAGACTTTAGGGCCACAGAATCGTTACTGAGGGACACAGAATTGTTACTGAGGGACACAGAATTGTTACTCAGGGACACAGAATTGTTTACTCAGGGACAGACACAGAATTGCTACTCAGGGACACAGAATCGTTACTCAGGGACACAGAATTGTTACTCAGGGACACAGAATTGTTACTCAGGGACAGACACAGAATTGTTACTCAGGGACACAGAATTGTTACTCAGGGACACAGAATTTTTACTCAGGGACACAGAATTCTTACTGAGGGACACAGAATCGTTACTGAGGGACACAGAATTGTTACTCAGGGACACAGAATTGTTACTCAGGGACACAGAATTGTTACTCAGGGACACAGAATTGTTACTCAGGGACAGACACAGAATTGTTACTCAGGGACACAGAATTGTTACTCAGGGACAGACACAGAATTGTTACTGAGGGACACAGAATTGTTACTCAGGGACACAGAATTGTTACTCAGGGACAGACACAGAATTTGTTACTGAGGGACACAGAATTGTTACTGAGGGACACAGAATTGTTACTCAGGGACACAGAATTGTTACTCAGGGACACAGAATTGTTACTGAGTGACAGACACAGAATTGTTACTGAGGGACACAGAATTGTTACTGAGGGACACAGAATTGTTATTCAGGGACACAGAATTGTTACTCAGGGACACAGAATTGTTACTGAGGGACAGACACAGAATTGTTACTGAGGGACACAGAATTGTTACTGAGGGACACAGAATTGTTACTGAGGGACACAGAATTGTTACTCAGGGACAGACACAGAATTGTTACTGAGGGACACAGAATTGTTACTGAGGGACACAGAATTGTTACTGAGGGACACAGAATTGTTACTCAGGGACAGACACAGAATTGTTACTGAGGGACACAGAATTGTTACTGAGGGACACAGAATTGTTACTGAGGGACACAGAATTGTTACTCAGGGACAGACACAGAATTGTTACTGAGGGGACACAGAATTGTTACTGAGGGACACAGAATTGTTACTCAGGGACACAGAATTGTTACTCAGGGACACAGAATTGTTACTCAGGGACAGACACAGAATTGTTACTGAGGGACACAGAATTGTTACTCAGGGACAGACACAGAATTGTTACTGAGGGACACAGAATTGTTACTGAGGGACACAGAATTGTTACTCAGGGACACAGAATTGTTACTCAGGGACACAGAATTGTTACTCAGGGACAGACACAGAATTGTTACTGAGGGACACAGAATTGTTACTGAGGGACACAGAATTGTTACTCAGGGACACAGAATTGTTACTCAGGGACAGACACAGAATTGTTACTGAGGGACACAGAATTGTTACTGAGGGACACAGAATTGTTACTGAGGGACAGACACAGAATTGTTACTGAGGGACACAGAATTGTTACTCAGGGACACAGAATTGTTACTCAGGGACACAGAATTGTTACTCAGGGACACAGAATTGTTACTCAGGGACAGACACAGAATTGTTACTGAGGGACACAGAATTGTTACTGAGGGACACAGAATTGTTACTCAGGGACACAGAATTGTTACTCAGGGACAGATACAGAATTGTTACTGAGGGACACAGAATTGTTACTGAGGGACACAGAATTGTTACTGAGGGACACAGAATTGTTACTCAGGGACACAGAATTGTTACTCAGGGACAGACACAGAATTGTTACTGAGGGACACAGAATTGTTACTGAGGGACACAGAATTGTTACTGAGGGACACAGAATTGTTACTCAGGGACACAGAATTGTTACTCAGGGACAGACACAGAATTGTTACTCAGGGACACAGAATTGTTACTCAGGGGACACAGAATTGTTACTCAGGGACACAGAATTGTTACTGAGGGACACAGAATTGTTACTCAGGGACACAGAATTGTTACTCAGGGACAGACACAGAATTGTTACTCAGGGACACAGAATTGTTACTCAGGGACAGACACAGAATTGTTACTCAGGGACACAGAATTGTTACTCAGGGACACAGAATTGTTACTGAGGGACACAGAATTGTTACTCAGGGACACAGAATTGTTACTCAGGGACAGACACAGAATTGTTACTCAGGGACACAGAATTGTTACTGAGGGACAGACACAGAATTGTTACTGAGGGACACAGAATTGTTACTCAGGGACAGACACAGAATTGTTACTCAGGGACACAGAATTGTTACTCAGGGACAGACACAGAATTGTTACTGAGGGACACAGAATTGTTACTGAGGGACACAGAATTGTTACTCAGGGACAGACACAGAATTGTTACTCAGGGACACAGAATTGTTACTCAGGGACACAGAATTGTTACTCAGGGACAGACACAGAATTGTTACTGAGGGACACAGAATTGTTACTGAGGGACACAGAATTGTTACTGAGGGACACAGAATTGTTACTCAGGGACACAGAATTGTTACTCAGGGACAGACACAGAATTGTTACTCAGGGACACAGAATTGTTACTGAGGGACACAGAATTGTTACTCAGGGACAGACACAGAATTGTTACTGAGGGACACAGAATTGTTACTCAGGGACACAGAATTGTTACTGAGGGACACAGAATTGT